GCGAAGGGGATTTTTGATGGCCCGAGAGGTCATCGTCGGCTTTGCAGCCGAACGGGCGATCATAGTAAAATTGCCCAGCCGGAGGGTTTGGCCCGGGGACAAAACTACCCCTGCGGTAACGTCGTATTTAACGACAAGGCGAGCCATCGAGGCTTTCATCGACAGCACCATGGAACTCTCAATGAAAGCACCAATGTCGGTGTCAAAACCGGCGGATCTCGGGTAGGGGGTCCTGAACTATGCGTCTAGGATCGATGGTAACAGGAGACAGGGGACACGATGTTTACCCAGGTTTGGGCCCTCTCTATGGAGGTAATACCCTACTTCCTGCTTGATTGATCTTGATGAATATGAGTATTACAAGAGTTGATCTACCATGAGATCGTAATGACGAAACCCTAGAAGTCTAGCCTATGGTTATGAGTATATATGGTGTCCTTTCCGGACTACCCCCTTTGGTTTATATAGACACCGGGGGGTCTAGGGTTTACATGGAGTCGGTTACATAAGAAGGAATCTTTGATCTCTAAGCTTGCCTTCCACGCTAAGTAGAGTCCAATCCGGACACGATGCAGTCTTCGGCCTTCATGTCTTCACAGCCCATCAGTCCGGCCCAAAGGATAATAGGCCAGACGCCTGAGGACCCCTTAGTCCAGGACTCCCTCACTCGCCACAAGCTACATGATGAATACATGAATACATCAATACATAGCAATCATCATACATAAGAGTAGGATCCAACTACGGATGAAATCAAATGGAAAAGGAGAACAACATCGACCCTACTAATCCCAGGCTCCCTGACCCGGAACCTAACCCTTGTTTGAAGAAGAAGAAGAAGAAGAAGAAGAACTCCAAAAGCAAGCACGCATCACTCTCACGTCAATGCTTTGCATAACCTGCACCTGCAACTGTTGTTGTAGCAATCTATGAGCCACGAGGAATCAGCAATCCCATTACTGTGGGTATCAAGACTAGCAAAGCTTAAAGGTTGACATGTACCATGGGCCTTGTCAGCTTAGTCAATATAAATGATTCTAGTTGTAGTGACCGTACGATGTCCATCCAATGACCGTCATGCTTCTTCAACCTCTGGTCTTCTTGCTCCAGCCGCCCAAACCAGCGCCCGCCGTGCCGCCCGCTCTTGCCTCCCATGTCCGGCTGTGCTTCCACCGCTGGCCATGCCATCCCTCTATACTCACCCACACCTCCTGTTATTCTCCGGCGATGACAACCTCAGACCCCAGCTGAAGCAATCAACCCACATACTTCCCTTTGCGTGGGCATCCACTGTCACGTCTTCCCCGCCGCCGTGTCGTTCCCTTCCTAGGCCTCGCCGTCGTCCACCACCTTGGTGCTCTCGGCGCGGCGTGGTCAACGTGGTCAACGGAGGACAGCCATCGGAAGAGGACTTTAGGCGGTGAGGCTGACAGTTGGACCCACCAGCTACATCTTCGAACACAAGGAAGTGCCTCCTTATTATTCACAAAATAAAAATGATTCCTTCCCCTGATAGCTGGGACCGAGGAGCTATATCTTCGCATGCAAGGAAGTGCGTCCTTATCCTCCCTGACCGCTGGGAACAACCCAGTCAGAGCGTACATAGTGTTATCTATCTGGTCGTGAATGTGTACGTACATACTAGTCGATCAGTCGCTCTGCAAGTATGAACCATGGCCGAGTAAGTAGCGGCATGTGTCGTTGTAGAGCACCTGACATAGCAGTTCACGCAGTCCTGTCTAAGTCTTGTACACGCACGTATGGCCATAGGGCAAAAAATATGGCCACGTACGTACATACGGGCGGGGTCTCGAGCGCGTACTCGCGCATATATATACGGACGGCCAGGGCTTGTGTACATGGAGAGGCAACGGGCGGCAGCAACGGCGTCCTATTCATCAGGGAGCGAACTTGCTGGGTCGGAACAGAGAAACAACGTCATGTTCATCGGGAGGCAACCGAGTAGGTCGGAATGCGTTGTGTTCATTGGGAGTCAACCGGCTTGGACGGAACAGCCGATCGAAACAAGGCCTGGTGTACCGCAAAACAGAGGAAACGGCCTTGTGTTCGACCGGCCACAGTCGAAATGGGATCCTGTTCATTGGGAGGGTCTGGCATACCACAAAACAGAGGAGCAGAATTCTACTGGACCTCCTACGGATGAAACGGGGTCCTGTTGATCGGGAGGGGTGTGGCGTACCACAAAACGGAGGAAACAGACTTGTGTTGGAGTGCTACGGTCGAAACGGGGGTCCTGTTCATTGGGAGGGGTGTGGCGTATCACAAAACAGGACTCCACGGGATACTGTTCATCTCCACCGTCGACCGCCTCCAGCCTCCCTGGGAAACTGTTCATCCACCGTCGACCTCGTCCAGCCTCCACCTGCGACTGTTCATCCACGGGCTCTTGTTCATCAAGCCTTCACTGCTCCTCCACCGGATACTGTTCAACCAACCCTATCCACAGGGTCCTCTTCAACCACCCCTCCACGGGCTACTGTTCATCCAGCCCTCCACCGGCTATTGTTCAACCAGCACTCCACGGGGTCCTGTTCATTCAGCCCTCCATAGGGTCCTATTCATACATCCCTCCACGGGGTTCTGTTCATCCATCCCCTACTGGCTCGATTGATCGGGGTACTGTTCATCCAACCCCCCCCCACCCCGCCGGGAACTGTTCATCCACCCCCCAACAACGCTCGCTGTTCATCAATGGAAGGAGGCAGTAGGGTTCGATCAGCTTCAGTTAGCAGGAGTAGTGAAGGAATCGCTCGATCGGGTTCAGTTAACAGCCAGATCGATCGATCGCTCGGGTTCAGTAGGCGAACGCCTCACTTGGGTTCAGTTAGAGCCCAACGCCTTGCACCCACGCGCGTACATGTACGAGACAAACGCGCATCGCTCGACCCCCGACCACCCACCGTAACCGGGAACTCCCCGATATTTTCCTCGCCCTCGCTTCTACCACGGTTTTTCCCATCATGGATGGCCCAAAGAATGTCATCAGCTGCGTCTTTGGCCCGCCCAGGATGGAAGACCATTTTCTGTCATGATTTTTTGTCATAGAAGTAGGAGCCCACCACATCTATGATGATACCTGGTTTTGTCACAATTATTGTCATAGAAGTGTCATAGGCATGACAGAAAAAAAATTGGCCCAAAATGTCACGGATGTGTCTTTTTTTGTAGTGCCTCCATCCCTTCTCTATTCAAGAGAGAGCCATCAGAACCTGCCTACACTTCCACTACTCATTTTCTGAGAGAGAACCACCTACACATGTGTTGAGACCAAGACATTCCAATCCAACCACAAGAATCTTGGTTTCTAGCCATCCCCAAGTTGATTTCCACTCAAATCATCTTTCCACCATAGCCAAATTTGTGTGAGAGAGTTGAGTGTTGGGGAGACTATCATTTGAAGTACAAGAGAAAGGAGTTCATCGTCAACACACCATCTATTACCTTTTGGAGAGTGGTGTCTCCTAGATTGGTTAGGTGTCACTTGGGAGCCTCAGACAAGATTGTGGAGTTGAACCAAGGAGTTTGTAAGGGCAAGGATATCGCCTACTTCGTGAAGATCTACCCGAGTGAGGCAAGTCCTTCGTGGGTGATGTCCATGGTGGGATAGACTAGGTTGCTTATTCATGGACCCTTCATGGGTGGAGGCCTCCGTGGAGTTGCGTAGCCGTTACCCTTCGTGGGTTGAAGTCTCCATCAACTTGGATGTACGATAGCACCACCTATCGGAACCACGCCAAAACTCTATGTGTCTACATTACGTTTGCCTTATCCAAACCCTTCCCTTTACCTTCATATGTAATGTTTTACTTTCCACTGCTACACTCTTAGAATTGCATGTGTAGGTTGATTGCATGACTTGTACTAAGTTGCTAAAATCTGCCAAGACATAAAATTGGGAAAAGGCTAGATTTTTATTTGGTCAAGTAGTTTAGTCACCCCCCTCTCGACCTACTTTCGATTCTACAACCGATCTCCCAGTCGGGTTGCCTAGGTCCATGCCGTTCGGGCAGATCAGACTGCTCGCATCACCCCGAGAAGCACCCACAGCAAGCCACCAGGCGCGCGGTCCACCCCTCATGGGCGTACTGGCTAGGACGGCCGAGCATAAGGGCTCGCCTGCGAGAGCACCTAATGCTGCCCAATGACGTTGGCCCTGGACAATCCACCGGTCATGGAGTTGACGGGTCACCCAAGAGTGATATCCAAGCAGTTCATATGATCCGGAGCACTCCCAAATGGCTCCCGTGGCAAAGCACTACATGACAGACTGCTAGGAGGCTCTCTCCGCATGTGAGCAGCACACGGAGGCGGCTACTCCACCTTCCATTATACGAGAAGTGACTTAAATGTATTATTTCAATACCCTAAGGTGAGAGTCATAACACGAGAAGTTTTCTAAGTGAAGCACTTAGATTCTTCACAGGACACAAAGTCATGAAATTTTAAGGAATGATGAGCGGAGGAGGGAGGTGGTCGAAGGGAGATTCCTTGTCATCAAAATCCTTCAAATGTCCATGAAACCATCTGATACAAATAGGAAGCAATGTTCAGAGTCATGCCACTTTGAATCTTTTTGAACCTTATGCCACTCCGAATGTTTCTGCTACATTGCAAACTCTCCCAAGTTGAACTCCCTGAATTGGTAATATCACCTAGTTTTCTTAACCCATTTACTACTCCCAAATCTTAACTCATAAGAAATTGAACTTTAGCTACTCATAAGGTACTACATTAAATGTTTACTAATGTTATTTCGTCTATTCCATCGGCTCTTTATCTTTTTGTGCAGTAGTTATCTTATTTCTCTAAATATAAATAAAAATAAATGAAAATTTATTTCGTTCCTCGCATTCCCTATTTAGGGCTACCAGGAACCTCTTTAAAAGCATCCACTTGGCCTATACGTAGCACATAGATCTCGAATCAACTTATAGATAGTAAACTAGCAAAGGTCTTTCGTTGAAGCTCGCATAAAATTCATGGCAACCGGCTCCCATGGATCATGGCGGTCCAACGAGACACCAATGATACCAAGCCCAGTATACACTTGCTCCTTCTGCCCTAGGACCTTCACAAACCTCCAAGCTCGTGGTGGACATATGACGAAACATCGTCAAGAGGTCCTAGAGAATAGGAGGAAGCATGAAGAATACATGACCAAAAAGGCCAAGGACTTCTCGATGGAGCCACTATCACCAAACACGACTTATTGGAGAAGGTATCGCAAGGGTAAGGAGAAGCCTGAAGAGATTATATTTTTTCCAATACAAATGTCCAGGGAGTTATCTGAAGATGATGGTGGATCAAGCAATGTCCCCATGCCATATGGGAGTGTGGCAACTAATACCTCTATGATGTTGACCGTGGAAGAGAAGGAGATAGGAGATGAAGAGGAGAACCTGAACATTGATCTTACCTTGAAGTTGTGATTTGATTCATCACTATGAGTTTGCTGGTATCGAGCGAGGCTCTATGTTCCATTTCACTCTTTGCTGGAAGAATTTGATGTATTAGTTAGTTTGAACAATCTATTTTGTTCTTAAAGCATTTTTGTTATCAACAAGTTTGATTTAGTTATGTAAAACACACCATATCATGTTATCATTTTTATCGTTGTACGAAATACTTCTTATCAACATTCATAGTTTGGCGAATAAATTCATATAATGGTGAGTCTGTTCGCAACATTAAATGTATCACAAATATCTTGCATAGCATTTCAGATTTTTGTTTGATATCTTGAACCAATCATAAAAAAATGAGTAAGTTTGTTGTAATAAATCTAGGCCTAGATGGAATCGACTAAACGGATGGGAAACTAATCAAACCTTGCATCATATAGTCACTAATGCAATAATTACCTAGTTAAATACAAAATTATCTCCATTAAAAAATGCATAATTACTCTCTTCAAATTCGAGCAATGATTGCCATTTGCATCCTTTCAGTGTTTCAAACATCATCAAATACTTTCAAACACCATCAAATCCTTTCAGTGATACATACATATATATAATAGCCATTCTATTAATATTCATAAAATATTATTCGGTTAACGTCTTTGAACTGTCCCCGCTCCAGTAGCTAAACTGCATACGACCAAATGTCTAGGTCAAGCATTTTTTTTCTAAACAAGGCGTGTAATATACCATTAAAAATTTGAGCACAAGAAGATAAATTCTCATATACGTCATTCTTGCAAATTGGTCATAGTTGAAAAGCAGTCTAAAAAGACGATTTTTTTCCATATTAAAAACCTGAAATGAAATTTTGATCGCATTTTCAAACCACTTATTGGTATGACACAAATGATGTGGTGCTGGAAATCTGCTACAAACATGCCCCTTTAGAAACATTTCTCCAGTTCGATACAGTTTAAAGATATTTGAAAAGTGGTGGATTTTTTTTACCAAAAATACAAGACATATTTTGCTCTAACTTTGAAACGGCTTGTCAAAATTTAGCAAATAATGTTTCATAAAATATCTATGGAAAATGCAAAACTTTTTTGTATATATCCTTTTTTTCAAATTTCTTATAGTTTAAAATAAAATATGAGAATAGGGGAATTCTTTTCAAATGCGGAACCTTTAAAGGTTTCTCAGATGGGGCAAATGATATACTTTGGAAAATATTAAAAATGCTAAAGTTTTTATGTTACGTATTTTGTCAGATTCATAATTGCTAAATTCAAATTTTGAATATGGAAACATGGATCGTGTTGTTTCTCCGTCCCCTAACAGAATAGATGAATAGAAGAGTATGTGGGCTTGAACTGACGGATTTTAATAGTCTGAACTTCACTCTATTATTAGATTCTATTTTTTCTCGTAACTTTTCAAACATCTATCATAACTAAGAAAATGATATACAATTAGACAACTGTTGAAAAGGGCCAACCTTTTCATGTGAAACATTTCACCAAATTCACCAGGTTTATAAGAAGTTTTGAATATGGTAAAATTCATTAGTAACCTTTTGTTTTTTTGAACCTCCCAATTCAAAGGGGGCATCTATTTCACATTGAAAGTGCAAGTTTTGGTAATTCATAACAACATATAACTCATTGAACTAATATCCATTCAAGTTTAATATTGCAGAAAGTTCAATGAATGGCATGGCATGGACTAGAGACGTGGACTCCTCAGAGTGCTGAGGACACACATTGGCAAAAGCTCAAGACTCTTCATTTCTATTTTAGTGATCCAAGATCACATTGAGTCCATAGAAAAACCAATAGTATTAAAAGGGGATGAGGTGTTTCTTAATGGTCTACTTGCTCAAAATGCTCAGTGATATTACTCCAAATCCCTGAACCACTTTCTCATCCCAAATATGTCCAAAACTCAAATTCAAACTTGGCCCCACCAAATTATCCTATCCATAGCTACTGAGTTCATATGACATAGCCACTGCCAGAAACCCTAATAGTTTAGTCGCACCGATATGGATCTCAGTCTCACCGAGATGGCCTTGCAAACTCTCTGTTGCTTGTTGCAATTATTTCGGTCTCACCGAAATGTGCAATCGGTCTCACCGAGTTTGCTTGACATCTTCTCTGTTGTCCTATTGCCTCACTTTAGTCTCACCAAGTTGATGCAATCGGTCCCACTGAGTTGATGTTTGCCCTAAGCCCTAGCACATCGGTCCCACTGAGTTGTTCCAGTTGGTCCCACCAAGATTCCTAACGTTCACATTTTGAACTGAATCGGTCTCACCGAGTTCTTCTATTCGGTCTGACCGAGTTGGGTCAAATGTGTGTAACGGTTGGATTTTGTGTGGAGGCTATATATACCCCTCCACCCCCTTCTCCATATGTGACAGAGCCATCAGAACATGCCTACACTTCCAGCATACATTTTCTGAGAGAGAACCACCTACTCATGTGTTCAGATCAAGATATTCCAATCCTACCACAAGAATCTTGATTTCTAGCCTTCCCCAAGTGTTGGGGTACACAAATAGGGGTGTATGTTTCCCCTGACATGTGCATGGACGACGGGCCTCCGGTCCAACAAGATGGCAACATCCAAGACAAAGGCCAAGCCAGAGAAATAGCCCTTTCAGAAATCAAATGGTGGATCAAGAAGACCAAGACCAACTAAAGGAGCAATATACCACCAAGGAAGAACCTCCCTTGCTGGGTAGGCAAGCCTGGCAGGGTCGTGGTTGCCCCGAAGACAAGTCTCAAGACTGCCTCGGAAAGCTTGCCGGGGACGCTGAGGGCAGATTACCCCGCCAAGGCTCCACCGCTCCACCTCACAACAACGCAAGTCACTGATGGATGCGGTGTCGAGCCCCCAAGTGACTAAGTGGCTGTTATTTGGCACGTGGCAGCCACGTCCGAAGGAAATAACCTCCAAATGACACCCATCCATGGACGTGTCATGCAGGCAGGCAAGAAGGTGGCCGAATGGTACGGCAAGGCTTGCCGGGCTACACTATGATGTGACACTAAGCGATGCATTTAATGCACCTTATCCTGTCCGCGGAGTTAGGTATGATAGCACTGTTTGCTATCTAATCAGTACACAATGACTAACTTGCCATTATGGTGACCCCTTGACCTACAAAAGGAGGGCTGTGGCAACCTTAAAAAGGATTCAGACCCTTGTACACTCATACGCACGTACCTGCTCTCGCCCCGAGGCAACCTTGTTGGGCTAGGGCGACGCGTCTCCACCACGGTCCTCTCATCAATTCACCAAAGCAGGAGTAGGGCTTTATGCCTCACGGCGGCCTAAACTGAGTAAAAACTACCTGTGTGATCGTTCTCGTGCTGCTCCACGCCCTCCGCTCTCTGTGCAATGTGCTCTTCCCCCCTGCCGAACCACAAGGGGCCGATGGTCCCATAGGTGGTCGTGTTTTCCCACGACATCTTTGGCATGCCACGTAGGGGGAGCGCTTGCGCAAACCCGAGAGCATAAGTAGCGCATCATTTTCATCATCGTTCTCTCCAATGATGACTTCATCATCCATGACGCCTAAGAAAAGGCGGGGAATTGTGGAACGGGAGGGAAGCGATATCGCTCCCCCGCCCACCCTGTCCAATCTCCATTGTGTCTCCCGCCACGGCTACAGTGGCGGTGGGAACCAGGAATGATGGCGGCATGACAATCCCAAACGGTTTAGGCAGCATGGTCGCCATGCAAGCCTCGTTCAGGAAAAGGAGCAAGGTGTATGGTACAAGGTTTCTCTCTCTTCGACTCTCACTTATCAACGATCGAGCTACTCTGGGTTTAGCATCATCAATGTCGATGAGCCCGCGCGATACTCGGTCCAGCATTTACCCTGCTTAGAGAAATCCTGTGTAGAGCGCTGGTGCGAATCCATTGATTGATGCTCAGGCAAGGCCGTCCACATTGGCATGATTTTTATGCCAGCTGTCGTCAGATTATTTAAAAAAATGTAAACAGGAGGATAGGGAATCCGACCGTGCCTTACATCACGACCTACTAATATGTCTCCGTCGTATTTATAATGTTTTATTGTTCCATGCCAATATTATTCAACTTTCATATACTTTTGGCAACTCTTTATACTATTTTTGGGACTAACATATTGATCCAGTGCCCAGTGCCAGTTCTTGTTTGTTGCATGGTTTATGTTTCGCAGAAACCCCTTATCAAACGGAATCCAAACGGGATAAAAACGGACGGAGAATATTTTTGGAATATTTGGAGAATTTTGGAAGAAAAATGCACGCGAGACGATGGCTGAGGGAGGCACGAGGCAGGGGGCATGCCCCTGGCCCTCATGGGCTCCCCGTAAGGCGGTTGATGCCCTTCTTCGGACGCAAGAAAGCTAATTTTTGGAGAGAGAAAAATCACGGCGAATTTTTCAGTCCAATTGGAGTTACAGATCTCAATATATATACGAAACGGTGAAAGGGCAGAAGAAGGGAACACAGAAACAGAGAGAGGCAGAGAGACAGATACAATCTCGGAGGGGCTCTCACCCCTCTCACGCCATGGAGACCAAGGACCAGAGGGGAAACCCTTCTCCCATCTAGGGAGGAGGTCAAGGAAGAATAAGAAGAAGAAGAAGAAGAAGAAGAAGAAGAAGAAGAAGAAGAAGAAGAAGAAGGAGGAGGAGGAGGAGGAGGAGGGGGGCTCTGTCCCCCTCACTTCCGGTGGCGCCGGTGTGCCACCGGGGGCCATCATCATCACCGCAATCTTCACCGACAACTTCACCGCCATCATCACCAACTCTTCCCCCCTCTATGCAGCGGTGTAAACCCTCTTTTACCCGCTGTAATCTCTACTTAAACATGGTGCTCAACGCTATATATTATTTCCCAATGATGTATGGCTACCCTATGATGTTTGAGTAGATCTGTTTTGTCCAATGGGTTAATTGATGATTGTGATTGGTTTGATTTGCATGTTTTATTATTGGTGCTGTCCTATGGTGCTCTCCGTGTTGAGCA